TCCAAGTCTGTTAACACATTTATAATAGTAAACTCTTATTTCTTTTGTCGTGAGTGTCACACAAGAGAAAAAGTATTATTTTCTTTGCTACTTTTTTTTTGCTTGAAAATAGAAATCTTTTTAAAACATTTATTCGCACTGTCCTTCGGAATATTACTTTATACAGTTTTCGACTCGGCTAAATAATTTATTTATTCGAACAAACACCTTTCCGTGTGCAGTGCATGAAACTATTAAATTATTCCAAGGGCGGCGCAAACAAACTCGGCGCCCTAAGCATCATTTCCCCTCACACCAAACAAAAGCCAATATTACCTAATTGCTAATGGTAATTAGAAATTTTTTACTATCGATACGATTCAATTCATATTTTTTTTAATTTTTCTGGAAACAAATTTTTTACTATCGATAAGATTCAATTAATATTTTTTTTAATTTTTCTGGAAACAAATTTTTTACTATCGATACGATTCAATTAATATTTTTTTTTAATTTTTCTGGAAACAAATTTGTCGATTATTAGTAAATCATTTCAATAAATTAATTTAATTTTACCACTCAACCTGAAAACCTAAAAAAATCTGGAAATGTTAGGAAATTTTATAAACCTTGAAAAAACCTGGAAAAGTCAGAATTTTGATTAAATTTTAATTGTATTAAAAATAATTGAATCTCTGTAAAAAATTTGATTAAATTGAGAAAGTTTTTGAAAATAATTGAAATTATCAATTCTTTGACAAAGAATTTTATTAAAATTTGTGAAAATAATTGAATTTTGACGAAGAATTTTATTATTTATCAAAATAATTGAAATTTTGACGAGAATTTTTTTCTACTTTTTCTTGGAAACTTTCATTAAAAATAAAATTCGTTTCAAAAATTCAATTATATTTTCATAAATAGTAAAACTCATCGCAAAATTTCAATTATTTTTAATATAATTTTAATGAAATTTCTCGAAAAATGTAATTATTTTTAAAAATTTCATTAAATTCATGAAAGAAATTAAATTCAAAAAAGCCTTTCTAAAATTTATTTATTCGAATTTGTATTATTGTCAATACATTTTAAATTAAACTTCTTAAAAGAATTAAATTATTTTCAAAAATTTTAATGAAATTCTTTTTTACAATTCAATTTTTTTTTCAAAATAATTGTAATAAAATTCTTCGTAGAAATTTAATTCATTTCCATAATTTATCAAAATTCAATTTTTTTTTAATATCTACTGTTTCAATAAAATTTCACCAAAGAATTCAATTATTTAAAAAAAATATTTTTAAATTCGTCTCCAGAATTCAATTATTTTCAAAAGAAATAAAATTCTTCGCAAAAATTTAATTACGCGGTCAAAAGTTTTTAAACATTCTAGGAAAAGTTTCAATTATTTTCAAAAACTTTTCTCAATTAAATGAAATTTTTTACAGAAATTCAATTATTTTCAAAAATTTTTTTATAAAATTCTTGGCAAAATTGAAATTATTTTCAAAAACTTTTCTCAATTTAATAAAATTTTTTACAGAGATTCAATTATTTTTAATATAATTAAAATTTAATCGATGTCTTCATGTTTAATGACAATGTTTTTAATAATTGTTTAATTTCAAAAAAGTTTGAATTTGAATATTTTGAAAATTTTTCTGAGCAATAAATTTTAAACTGAATCAGAATATTGTTTAGATTCAAGGAAAAGTAAGAATTTTGTCTGAAATTCAAGGCAAAGTCATGGAAAAAGAAAATTGAATTTTTGTTGACAAATGTAATTTTTAAAAACCTGGAAAAATTCCGTTTTTTCGGAAAAGTCAGGGAATTTGAAATGAGCAAAAGCGTGGCAACGGTGTTAATATTTTTTTTTAAATATTTCAGCTATTTATTGATATTATTTTCTTAAGTTTGAATTAACTATGATATTCCTTAAAAAAATGTGATTCTTAATATTTTAATTATTAATAATATTATTTTTACTGCATAATAGAATGTGAATACAATTAACGAAATTTAATTACAATAAATTTAACCTTAATTGTAAATTAATAATTCATTTACAATATGTGCGACAATTATTATTATTACCATTGCGACAAAAATAATAATAATAATTATTTTGGATTAATATTATATGACAATTAATTTTCGACAATAGAAAGAATTAAATGTCGGCCTTATTAATTATTCTGATAAATGATTATAGAATTGGTTGAACGGATGGACAAATGTCAATTATACAGCACACAATATTCGAAATGCGAGTTAACTAAATTCACATATATTCTAGGCATGCATCATTTTTATCGATTTCAGCTATAAACACTACTGCTAAAGTCATCGCATCGTTGCGGTCAATTACATATGCATATATGACAGATATTCAACTATAGCTTTACCGAATAGTACCTACAATATAAATGTAATAAATTACAAGAAAGTAAATGTAATATTTTTTAATTTTTTTTTCTCTTTCACATATAGGCGAAGATTCTCTTCTTGTAATCCATTAAATATTTACAGGCGCGCATAAAAACCAATAATATCATTAATCGATTATACTTTAAAATATTCACCATGGAAACCGCAATTTCTTTGGAACGTAATTTCAGTAATAAAAGGCGAAATATAAAATTATGTTTGAACTTATAATTTGCTAAACAGATTAAATAAAATTCAGTTCAAGGGTTAATTATTATTTAAGATCCTTTGGATATTAATGAACGTTATTCGATTGAGGTCAAAAGAAAGAAGAAGAAGAATTGGAATTGCCGATGGAAATTTAATTATCGAAGAACATTAAAATATTTCATTCAATTTATATTCTTCCTTTTTTTATAACGACTTTTTTCGACTATTTTCAAAAAATTCTTCTTTTTTCGCCTTTTTTCGACTATTTTCAAAAAATTCTCTTTTTTTACACTTATTTTCAAAAATTGCGACTTTTTCGACTTTTCTTCCAATTTTTGCAACAAAATACCAAATTTTTTTTTTATATAAACCCACGTGAAAAAGTTCCCGGGAATTGGACCGAGATATTCCCGGGACTCTCCCGGGAATTTCTCGGGACTTTCCCGGAGAATTTCCCGAGCGAGTCCGGGAAATTTCTCGAGAGTAACTCCCAGGAATTTCTCGCACCAATTCCCGGGAACTTTTTCACGTGGGAAGAATTTAATGTAAACGTCTTTTTATGCAATTTTGATCTTCTGCTAGTTGGCGGCTGTGGTTACTTTTACTTAAAAGTGCTTAAAAGTCACGATAAAATTTTCTTTCTTTCAGGATGTTGTTCAGCAACATCCCAGCAACAATCTAGAATGTTTCCAGGCTATTAGTTTTAAGAATTTCTTTATATTTTTTTAAAAATTAGTTCCTTTAACATTTGTGGTTAAATATTTTCAGTAATTCATAATAACTTTTATAAAAAAGAATCATGAGCAGTTACAACTATTATGAAAAATTGAATTTTTGTATTTAAATAATTGGAAGAAAAATTAAGTAATTTTAAGAATAAATTAATTAATAATTGATTTGGAAATGAAGTTTAGTTAAAAATTGTAGAAAATAATTTAGTTTCGGAAGGGTTATGATTGTAATTTTAAGAAATTATTTCGCTTTAATTTTGTTTCTTATTTTTTTTTGTTTTTTTTGTATTTTATGTTTTTTTTTGTTCTAAAAATTTGATTGAAAAAAGTGTCAATAAAATTACTTGTATACCGTGTATATGTAATAAACTTGAGATTTTATTTTCCTTTAAAGACTAAGATTAAGGAGATGGCGCGAGATGAGATGGGAGAGAGGATTAAAATATGAAGTTTAATAATTTGATCATGAGCCTCAAGAGGTAGGGCGATTATGATACAGGGGGAAAATGTTGATAAGATTTATTTCGTCCCTATGGGCTTTTCCAAACGCTTTCGCGTTGTATATATTATATACAAAATAAAAAATAAAAATTAAAAAAAAAATACTAGGATATCGGAATTCTATTAATATCCGACGGAAACACGTGATTAAATTTTCCAAATTGGACGGCTTTTCGTTCATTTTAACTTTAGTTGAGTATGAAATGCACCACAATTTAATTGCCTTTAACTGCTTTAGCCAAAACTTTTTTATCGCAATAAAAAAATAAACTTCATACCACTTTTCACGTTTATATATAAAATTTTCATCCTTCTCCACGCATATTACTTTAATTAATTGAAATCTCCATCGACACATTCATTTTTCATGTATTAAATATTCGCTGCAAATTTTATTTTATGTATTATATCCTGTATTATATTTATAAACATTTAATATTTATTATTTATATTTACTAGATTTATATTTTATATACAGTTATAAATGTATTTACTCTCTTTTTTATTATTTTGTTGACTTAAGTTTTCAAGTTTATTAAATTAATTATGAAATATGGTAAAAATTGGAAAATGAATAAAAATTTAATGTTCGTAATGAAGGGATTAAATTTTATTACTGTGAGAGTAAATTTTATACGTAAATTTTTTGCGTAATTTTTTTTGCAAGTGTGTTTTTTTGTAAGTATATTTTTTTTGTTAGTAAATTTTTTTGTAAGTTATTTTTTTTGTAGAGAAATTTTTTTGTAAGTTATTTTTTTTGTAGAGAAATTTTTTTTGTAAGTTAATTTTTTTTGTAGGGAAACTTTTTTGTAGGAAAATTTTGTTGTAGGGAAATTTTTTTGTAAGTTACTTTTTTCCATGTATAAATAAAATTTTGTTTCGATGGGATTGAAAGAAGTTTGAAAGCGCGTATCATGTGAAAATGGCTTTAACATTTAGTGCGATGAAGCTTAGACTAACTGTCTGAGAGGAAATTAAGAAATGAGTTTTTCAAAGAGAGAAAAAGAGACTGCTTATTAATTCCGCAATTGACTATCGATTCGGCTTAAGTACAAGTCAAACCAAGAAGTCCATTCCCTTATCTCTGTCAGGCCCGTCTAGCAATTACCTTAATTAACTCAATTATCGTTCTCTTCTTCTTTCTCTTTTCAGGTGCGCACCTTGTTCGTGAGCGGCTTGCCGATGGACGCCAAGCCAAGGGAGCTCTATCTTCTCTTCAGAGCATACGAGGTTAGTTTTATTTTATTTCATTATTTTTCCTTTTTGTTTACAAGACGCATTTAGTGCTTGCTTTAAATCCCGGTGAAAGTTAAAATATATCCCGTTTTTTTTCTTTTTTTTTTTTTTTTGTTCTTCTCAATCACTACTACATGTGGGTTTTATATGTAATTAACCCCTTGACTTCTATGAAAGAATATGTTTTTTTTTCTTCTGTGACTAATAATTACTAATAGTAATTTTAATTATTATTTTTATATAGTTAATTTATCATTATTTTTAGTAATTTAATATTATTAACGCGCTATTTAATAAAAACGCGCTCTGAAGAAAGGTGCATAGTTACAAAAATTTTTAGGTTATGTTTGTAATTTTAGAAAAGAAAATACACAAAGGAGATCAAGTCTTAATATAAACCAGTAACGTTAAGGTCTTCGTTACACTCTCTAAATTCGAATTATTAAAATTTTACATTTTTTTACATTACTTTTTACTTTAAAATTAGTAAATTTTAGTAATAAAGTAGTAGAAATTACGACTTGTTAGTAAAATTTACTAATTCAAAAGGAAAAAATCTTGAATCTACTCTTGAATTAGTAGATTTTACTAATAAGTTAGTGAAAATTACTACTTATTAGAAAAATTTACTAATTCAAAATAATAAAATTTTCACTGGAAATCAATTATTCAAAAGACAATTTTCATAAAATTTTTTAAAAAGAATTAATTATTTAAAAAGATTTTTATAAAATTCTTCACAAGATTCAATTATTTTAAAAATTTTTTTATAAAATTCGTTGCAAGAATTCAATTATTTTTATAAATACTAAAATTTTCACAGGAAATAAATTATTTAAAAGACAATTTTTTATAAAATTTTTGGAAAAAAATCAATTATTCAAAAAGATTTTGATAAAATTCTTCGCGAGATTCAATTATTTTAAAAAAATTTAATAGAATTCTTCGCAAGAATTCAATTATTTTTAAAAATTTTAATATAATTCGTTCCAAGAACCCAATTTTTTTTTATAAATAGTACAATTTTCATAGAAATTCAATTATTAAAAATTAAAACACAATTTTCATAAACTTTATTTCAAGATAATCAATTATTTAAAAAGATTTTTATAAAATTTTTTGCAAGAATTCATTTATTTTTATAAATGATAACATTCTTCTAAAGATTTCAATTCTTCATAAAAATTTCGATAAAATACGTTGCAAGAATTCAATTATTTTCAAAAATAATAAAAACTCATCGCAGGATTTTAATTCTTCTTAAAAATTCTAATAAAATTTGTTACGAAAATTCAATTATTTTCATGAATGATAAAATTTTTACAGGAATTCAATTATTTTCAAAAATTTTAATGAAATTGTTCGCAACAATTCAATTATTTTCAAAAATTTTAATGAATTTCTTCGTAACAATTCACTTATTTTCAAAAATTTTGTCAAAGCTCTTTATCAGAATTGAATTTTAAGAAATATTCAATTATTCGATAAATCATTTATTTTTGTATTTAAATTGTAATTGAATTCTCGTAGATTTTTTTAAAAATTTTGTAATTCAATTAAATTTTTTAAAAAATTTAATTCCTGTAGAAAATAGAATATCTAGGCATTTAATTATTATTATTTAACAAGAATTATTCTATTTTTGAATGTAATTTTATTTTTTCTTATTTTAATTTAAATTTAGAGAAAATTGATAAATTACTCTTCAAGTTTTTTTCGTATTAAAATTTTTTCGAAGGATGGAAATAAAAAAATTTTGCCACCGCCACGAAAAAAGGCTCCTACGGTCCTGACTGCAGTCGCGATAATAGTTTGAATCGGTGGCAGTTACACTTACCGATGATAATTTCAATCATAGTTGTCATAATTAAATTACAGTCATAGAAATTTGATGGTAAACTTCCAAGATAGTATTTTTGCAATTTATATCTGATTAATAATTATTCTTTTATATTTTTATGGTTATTATTACAAAAATATTTATTATTAATGTATTATTTTTCTTTAAAAATTATTAAAGTTTTGAATAGTTTTTTTACAAAAAATTCTAAAAAATAATTGAGTTTTGGAAAAATTGAGTTGTGCCAATAATTTCAGTATTTGATGCAAATATGAATTGAACCATTTAATTGACTCAAATATAGAAATTATTTGATTCAAATAAAAATTATTTCTATTAATAATATTATTAACAATACATTGAGAAAAATTTATTTGATTCAAATAACCGATTAATTGACTATTATTTAATTGATAACAGTCAATTAATCGGGTATTTGAATGAAAAATGAATTTTTTTAAGTGTATTGTTAATAATGTTATTAAGAATAGAAATAATTTTTAAATAATGCCAATAAAAATAATAAAAAAATAATAAAAAAATAATATTAATAATGATAATGCTAATAATATGATAATAATTAAAATGATAATAATAAGAACAATAATAATAAAACAGTTTAATAATTGAATAATAAAAGAGTTTAATAATTGATCGACATTCAGAAAATCTAAACAAAGAAACGTGTCTAAAAATTGCAAGCTTTGTTCATCGTTTCCCAAGAATGGAAACGAACTATTACAGAAAAATTGTTTGCCTGCAAGTGCATTAGAGAAAATTGCGAGAGTTTTTTTTCGAAAAGAAATAAAAAAAAAAAAAAAGTTCTGTTCGCGTGAGCCGAATGATAACAAATTTTACAGTGTCTTGTATAATTATCAGAAGGTTCGAAAACGATTCTAATTTGTAACCCTTTTTCCTTTTCTCTCTCTCTCTCTCTCAAAATGTCATAAACATAGGTTAGGAAATTCCTTTGTTTTACTAGCTTCTCATAGAAAATTATGGTTCCATGTTTGGAATTCTATTGTGCATATATTTTGCAGCAACAATGAGAGACATTAACTCCATTTATATGTAGGAGAATAATTTTGTGTGCTGTAGGTGTTATTTTGTGTGAGGTCGAATTCTCAGTGAACAAAACCCTCAAAATAGTTTTGTGTGAAAATCAACGAAATTCGATGCGAAACAGCATCGTGTCTCCTCTCTCTCTTCCCCCTCGTATGCAAAAGTGGATCTACTCTTTTTTTTTCTTTTTTTTTCTTTTTTTCTTTTTAGATTAGAGAGAAGACTGTGCTTTGGTATTAAAGGTCTCAATTTCGGTTCGAGTGTCAACGTATATATCAATGGCTTAACATTTGTAATTTAATTCCTAGTAATTCCGCACCTTTATTTTCAATTTTAATTTATTTCACTGGAATTAATTGGGAATTAACTATAATTAACTATAATAATTTGATTGTTCTTTCATTCATTCACTTTTTCTGTCCCTCATAATCTGAAGTTGTCTTTTTATTTTCCATTATTTTTCTTCATGAATCACAATTTTTTTAATAAAATTATTATTTTGTTTTAGAAAAAGAAAAAAAATATTTGCAAAATTTCTATTTTTAATCTTATTTTTGAAACATGATTTTCCACAGGAAAAAAAAATTTCAAATTCAAATCTTTTTTAAATTAAACAATTTATAAAAGTATATTTGTTATAAAACACGAAGATATCGATTGCTCCGAGTCAAAGACTCGGAGTGATCGATATCTTCATGTTTTATAATAATTAAAAATTAAATTATTTTTATTTAGAATGTAAAGAAATTTCAATTATTTAAAAAATTTTCAATTATTTGTTTATAAAAATTTAATTATCATGAAAAATTTTCCTTCTTTAACAAATAATTTTTACATTATGTTTGATGGAATTCTGATAAATTAAAGCATTTATTATCAATATTTAGTGAAAACAGAATCAATTATTGTCGGAGAATGTATATATATTGAAATTTACTCTGTAAATGAATTAAACCGCTTATTTTGCCAATCTCGAAACTGAAAGCGATTTCACAAATTTATCAAGTTTAATCTCTGAATTTTCATACTCTATACTTTTGTAACATATTGTTTACTTTCAAATTAATATTTTATGATGTTTCATTCATTGTTTATATTTTCATTTTTTTTTTCGTTCTTTATTCTCGCTTATAAATGGAAAAATATAAAGCAACTTTTCAAATATAATTAAAGCAATTGTATTTTTTACTTTTCATTTTTTATTTGTTTTGCATTCATTTTTCATTCATTTATTATTCATTTTCATAGTTTTATTCGAGAAATTAATATATAAATTGAATATTTTATGCAAATAATTTAAAAAAAATAAATATTAAATAAATATTAAATAAATATTAAATAAAATTGTAACTATAAATAATAAATTTAACATATGGAACGTATGTTTTTCGCGTACAATGTATTTTTATTATACAATAATTTTATTATATGGAAAAAAGTAGAATTATTTTTCTAATAAGGGAAATTAATTTTTCTTCTATAATAAACGTGCAATTTAATATGGTATATTAATGAAAAAAAAAAATAGTTGAATGAACATTTTAAAAAGAAAGACTGACTGGATATGTAGCTAACGATTTGTTGAACTTGTTCATCCGTGAAACGGATGGCTTTGATCAGCCAGTCGTTTTCCAGCAGTGTAATCAACGTTCTGAATGAGTGTAATTGAAACCAAAATAATAATGATGATACAGGTAATCACATTGCACAGCTAACCTTCAGACTATCAAAGATTTTTGATCCTTTTGATTACCAATAATATCTGCATTATTCATTCTATAAACGCATATTTGTGCCATTAAAGCTTACGTAACAAATTGTTTTATTATAATATCCACATTAGTATTATCCATTGTATATATTAGAGAAAAAATGTACTTGCATCATATTTAACATTTTTTTTTGTCATTTTTCAGAATTTTAAAACATTTTTCTCCACTCTTTTTTAACTCTTTTAATTGTTTTAATTATTTTACTATTTTTTAATTGTTTTTTTTACTATTTTACTATTTATTTTTTTTTTTTACTATTTTCCTATTTATTTTTTCGCACTCATCTACTAAAACCTACTATTTACTACTTTTTTACGTTA